GGCTGGATATTAATAGCAGCCTAATCACACTCACATTCTTTGGGTGCTAAATGAAAGCAAAAATTCTAAGCTGTAAGAGCAAAACCCTCCCTTCTGAGAAGACTGAGTCACCCCAGTGAGGTTCATGAGGCTGGCTTAACCCTTTGCTTTCCACAAGGGACTCTTTGCTCTTCCCCTGAAAGCTTGATTAGCAGAGCCAGTGAGAGCCACTCAGCATGCAGGCCAAGCTCCAGGGACACTGTGGCTTCAAGTGAGGGGTTTGATCTTTTCTGGGCATGTCACAAGGCTCTGAGAGAGGCCAGCAGGCTTGGCCCCACAGGGACCTACACAGTCAGGCAGATATACTGGACATGCCTGCCATTGCAACTCCTTCAGGCCTCTGTCATCTGCCAAATGGAACTTATTGTATTACCAGTGTTAGTGCTTCCATTACCACCTCCCAGGGAGGCTGAGAGCACTGAGGGTATTTCTGTATAGACTGTTCATGTCTTCTCCCTGACTCCCGAAGACAGCCTAGTGCTTGCTGAGGCATGGCAAGCCATTGGGACCTACCAGGTAGACCCAGTTTTCTTTGTCTACCCTAGATACTTAAGTTCCCCAAGACAATGAGCATAGGAACAACCCGCCCCCCCCCATGGCTGCTGGGAATGGAATAAAGGTATGCAGCCTCTATTCCCAGAGCCCTCCTGCCTTCCTGCCCTCCTGCCTGCCATGGACAACCCACAGGATTCCAAGGTAGACAGAGCCTATGCTTTTGGCCTAAGTGTGAGGCTTCATGGAATGAACGGTTCAATGAATGGGTCTGCACAGTGTGTGACTGGACAAGTAAGAAGTGAGAAGTAAGGCCAATGAATGGGTTGCTGAGCACGCGCGCACGCGCGCGCGCACACACACACACACACACACACACACACACACACACACACACATGAATGAACATGTTGCCACACCACATATTAGGAACATGAAACCTTAAGCTGTGGGTCTTCTCTGGGTAGGTACACAGTTCATGTTTGGAGGTCAGAAGACAACCTTGGATGTCAGTTTAGTCTTCCACCTTATTTGCAGCAGGATCTCTTGCTTGTGCTACATACAGCAGGCAAGGGGGCCTACCAGCTTCTTGAATTTTCCTATTTTCTCCTAGCTTTTCTTATGAGCAATGGGATTGCATCGCTGTCATGTTCAGTTTTATGTGGGTCCTGGAGATTTGAACTCAGGTCTGCATGCTTACGTGGCAAGCACTTTACCCACTGAGTAATCTCCCTAAGCTAGGCTCTTTCCTTTACCCTTAGAAGACACTTGGCCTGACAACTAAAGATTCAGTTAAATAGAACCTGTGCATCTGGGAGTTTATACCCCATTCTTCCTGCTGGAGACGACTTGCCCAAGGCTCTTTGGCTGTGCCCTGGGTAAGAGAGATGATACCTTTGGACTCAGCCTTACCAGCTACATGGCATTGCTGATCACCTCTGAGCCTCAGAGCTTATTTCATTAAATGGAAATAATAAAACTTACAGCAGAGGGGTGGGTAGCTCAGTGGCATAGCATGCTCAAGGCCCTGGGTTCAATTTCCAGTACTGCATAAAAACAAACAAACAAACAAACTAAATAAACACACTCCCTCTCTCATTGGGGCTAAGCATGAAGATAGCACTTGACCATATACAGTAGTGTGGGATACCCAGTAAGGAAACTGCTTTATTTCATGAAGTAGGTCAACTATGTTAGGATGGTCTGGGGGAGGGATATCTAGTCCCTTCACAAATGGCTGGGTGGTTATCCCAGCAGAGGTTCTTGAGTAGATTGCCTTAGGTACAAAAGTAACTGAACCCTATTTGGTTTGTTTCTCCTCTCCATGCCTCAATTTTCTTTCCTGTAAAATGGGCCAGGTTCTGCTTAACTGTTGGTAAGAGTCCAAAATGCTGATTGGTTCTTGGCATGCCTCACTTAACCTGACCTGGCTGGAGAAGCATCAGGAAATATTTGGAAGTGGATTGAAAAGGAGGCGGGGAGACAAACATGACTCAGTGTTCTCTCCTTTTATGGGCTGGCACTCAGTCCATGGCTTCCTGGAGGCTATATTCCAAACTGTGCCCTGATGGATGTGAGGCCTACATGCCCATGAGCCCCCACAGACCCTCCAGATGTCACCCTGCTGGCTGGACTGGGTTTTGCCTTGCTATTTTAAGCAGCAAATTTATAATAATGGGTGGGAAAGCACATGGAACCTGAGCAGCATGGGAATGGCCTGAAGCAGGGCCTCGGGGGCTCCCCTGGAGACGCACCTGGAGCCGCACAGACTCCATCTTGTTCAGCCATGGAACTGCAGCCATTCTCCATCCTGCTATAGCCAGCATCTCCAAGTCTGTCTGACCTTGTTCATGAGGTTTTGTTTCTGGCTGGGGGCTGGCAGAGGTCTGTCTGCAAGAGAGGACTGTGGAGGGTTAGAAATGGGATATTTCTGGAATGGCTTTATAATCCTAGGATCTCTGACTGAACCCTGGGATGAGAGCATCCTTGTGGCTGGTTATGACTAGATAAAGTCTAGGACTTCAGAGTTGGAAAAGGCCACTGCCGTGCTGGGAATTCCCATGACCCTTGAGCCAGGATTATTGGAAGTCCCTCAGGAACAGGAAACTCTTGACCTTGGTGAGCATTCTCCTCCATCTTTAGCTGGCTCCAGACTCTAGAAAAGGTTCCTTTGTCTTCTCACTTGGCTGTTGAGTCCTTTGGAGACCCCAGGGCTACATGACTATCTTTTAGATATCTGAGAAGAGATCATTTCCTCTTGCAGCTTCTCTGGTCCAGGCTGAAGTCTTGAGTTCTTAAACACAAATTCTTGTCCTCCTGGAATCTTCTGTTTTCTGAACATGGTCTTATTTGTCTGATCCTTGTTTTACAGTACATAATATGCTTTATGTAGATTAAGACACAAACAGAAAGTGGAATGGCTGTCCCCTGTACTTTGGAAATTGTTATTAAGATAGGTTGAACTTGCAGAGGTGAAGCAAGCCATGATGTTCCCTGAGGAGGTGAGCCATCTTGTTGTTACCTTCAACTACCCCCATTACAACACAATCCCCTCAACACTACTTACACCATTGCTGCTGATATTGGTGTCTAAGTAAAGATGATGAAATTATCCAGAGAGCTCACTTTTTAATTTCTTCATCCAGTTGTCTCTGAGCATGGAAGACACAATGGTCCTGGACCCATAGCTTTTATCTCTGAAGTCAAGATAGAGCTGTTTGGAGACCAGCCCAGCATGGCCTTTTCTCTGCCAGCTCATCTACCCTGCTTGGCCCCAGGCTATTCTGCAAATAGATACGTTCCATTCGCATTTCTGCGGTATGGCTCAGCTCACACAGCGCTTGTGACATAGAGCCGTCACTAAACCAGTTGTGCCCCAGTCTGCATAGTTAGGGATTCTTCCTTATAATTCTTCATTCTGAAGTGTGTGTGCCAATCACAGTTTTTCAGTTCCTACCAACACTGGACTCAAGACCTCGTGAAGGTCAAAAACTATACTTTTTCTTCTTTGTATCGCAACACAGGTCACAGAGAAAAGAATGAATGAATGCTCCACTTAGACATGGAGACATGGTGGCACATGCCTGGAATCCTAGCACTTGGGATGTGGAGAAAAGAGAATCAGTCAGCCTCAGCTACACAATGAGTTCAAAGCCAACCTAGTCCGAGTTACTCCAAACTCTGTCTTAAAAAAAAAAAAAAGATTCAGTGCATGTGTAGATGGACTTTATTTTTTGGGCAGCCAGCTCACAAAAAAATGACACAGACACTTGTTATTAATTATGAAAGCTTAGTCTTAGCTTAGGCTTGTATCTAACTAGCTCTTATAACTTAAACTAACCCATATTTTTAAGTCCATGTTCTTCCATGCACTCATTACCTCATCTCCTTTCTGCCCATCCTGTTTCTTCTGCATCTGGCTAGCGATTCCACCTTTCTTCTTCCCAGAGATCCCTCTGTCCAGAAGTCCCGCTTATACCTCCCATCTAGCTATTGACCATTTACATTTTTGTTAAACCAATCACAGTGACACATCTTCACACAGTGTAAAGGAATATTCCACAGCATGAATGAATGACCTAGTTGAGTTGAGATTTCCAAGATGACCAGCAGGGGTCGCCCCAAATACTTCAATACTGAGTGGGCTACCTATGCTGGTATAAGACAAAAGCTAGGACAGTCCCCCTTTGACAGCTCCAGGACTAAATGCCTCCCATTCTTTAAATGCAAATGTGGTTTAAATTCTTTAAACCACCATTTTTAATGGATCTTTTGAATATTATAATGAATCGGACACTTTCCGGGCCTTGGAGAGCCGGGTCTAGAGGGTGGTTGTGTACTGCAGTTGATGACAGGTGTCAGCCTGGTTTGCCATGCTCTGGTTTAGGGAACTTCAGGCCCTCTCAGTGGTACAGGAAGGATATCTTTTGTCATGGGAAGCAGCAGAACTTTCTGGCTTTTCCTATAGCCTCTATCAGTCAGCAGCCACTTGTCCACAGAGTGTGACACAGTGGTAACTCGGTTAATGGCGTCTTTTGTTCTCCCTGTGGGGAGGAGGCGGACCACAGAAAAGGATGTGGGTTGTAGTGGGAAGAGCCATGGGCACCAATCAAGAAGTTCTAGGTGGCAACACTTAGTTTTCTGTGCCTTCCACCCCGAGAGGCTCTTCCCTCACCTATAGAATGGAACGGTTGATGCCTACCCTCATCCAAGGCCAGATAAGGAGTCATGCAGCCAGCAGGAGCTCAGTAGATGGCATACAGATCGTATCTGATCTCAATGAAGTGTCCCTCCCTCAGCTAATGCTTTGCGGAGATGAAATGTTTCTCTTCTGGAATAGATGTGTTTACTGTAAGGACCAAATTAGATGCAAAAGGTCACTCCTGCCTGAGTAAACAAAGCCAGAGAGCAGGAGGCAATGCAACCCCCAATGCCTGCTCCCAGCCTCGCCTTGCCTGACCTCTGGTGTGATGTAAAACTGAGCAGCCCATCTGTGGCTCTTGAACCCTGGAAATGGAGCCTAGCTTGGGACAGGGATGGGAAGGATTTTGACTTGTCCTTTTGGCATCTCCCCAGCCTGCGGAGCCCAAGCCTCTTGGAGCATCTTTGGGGTTGACACAGCAGAGGTTCCAGGCACACACAGCCACTCCAGCCAGGAGGCTGCCATGTCCCACATTCCTGAGGATGAGGAGCCCCCTGGAGAGCCACAGGCAGCCCAGACCCAAGTAAGTGCCCCTTCCTGCCCATGGCTAGCCTGGATGGGGGCCAAGCTAAGCATTCTGAGCTGAGGCTACCACTTTCAAGCTGGCCACAGATGCTCGGACAGCAGCGCAGACTGCAGAGGGTGCTGGAGAAGGTGTGTGGCTTTCTAGAGAATATGCTACCCTAAGTTCACTTAAGTGGCCAGGGTCCTGAGAATCCTGAGTGTGGCACCATCTAGACAGCATATGACAAAGGCTTCATGAGATTTCAGACCACCTTGGCCCAGAATGCTCCCTTCCATGTTTGAGAAGGATGTAGAAGAGACAGGGTAGCAGACATAGCCAAAGACCACTTTGAAATAATCTACTTCAAATGAATAACAAAAGTTCATAGTAAAGGATAGGAAAGGGTTTCAGTAAAAGTTGATAATAAAATAGAAAATGATTTTTAAAATGTTTATTAAGAGTATTTTCATTGAGGCAGGCATGGTAGCTTATCCCTGTTGTCCCAGTCTCCAGAAAACTGAGGTAGCAGGTCACTATGAGTTCCAGACTAGCTTAGGTTACAGACTAAGACCCTATCTCAAAAAACAAAACAAAGCAAAACAAAAACCCAGACATAACAAAAGCAATGGCAATAACAAAGAAGGTACCCTGAAGTTTTATTTTGCAAATGAAATTAAGAAAAGCTATTTTTAGCTATATGTAATAATAAAGTATCAGTTATTATTTTTACTTTCAAATTGAACAAAGAATCAGTATCTTGGTGTTGATATGTATATTACTTGTTTTGTTTTATTTTTGTATATGTAGTATATGCATGTGTTTTCATGTATGTGGAAGCCAGAGGCTGATGTTGAGTGTCTTCTATTATTATCTACCTTATTTTTTTAAGGCAGGGTCTCTCCCTGAATCTGGAGGTCACCAATTCAATAAGACTGGCTAAGAAGAAAACCCTAGGGGTCTTCCTATGTGTTTCCCATGCTACCCTGTCCTTTTTTTTTTTTTTTTTTTTTTTTTTTTTTTGTGGGTGCTAGAGATCCAAACTCAAATTCTCATGCTTGTATGGTAGGGACTTTCTTGGGCCATCTCCCCAGCCCCTATTATTTTTTTCTATCAATCAATGTGTCTACATGATACCACATTCTTCACATTTTATTTTACTTTATTTTACAGCGGCTCCATCAAAAGAATGTTTAAAATGTAAGGTCATACATTTCCCCAAGATATTGAAGCCGTTCCCTTCTTAAGAACCTATCTTATCCATTGTACTCATCTGGTCACTTGCCCAGCTCTGTCTGATCCTCCTTGCTTATGGAGGTCACCATCAATCACTATTTTCTTTGCCTTGAATTTTATCATTGGTTTGCACTGAACTTGTACTATGCTGTTGTATGGCCCATATTGATCAGAGCCAGATGACACAGGCTTACTAATTGAGAGAAGAGTGTGTGAGTGAGAATCATTTTTCCAGATGGACAGATCCCTAGTTAATATTTTCATGTTGTGATGACATTTGTTTTCTTACATATTATAACCGTGGGAACTAAGATAGCAAATGCTTAGAAATGCATAGCCCCTTGTATCTCCACATCCCAAGTTCATGAGTTTGAGATGCAAACTTGGCAGCTTAGGGGTGGGAGGATGTCTTTTCCTTGAACGTCTAAACAAAAGAAAACAGTGAGGCAAACTCACATCTCTCTGTCTGCAGACTGTAGCTCAAGGCTCTAGGGAATGCTCCACAACCATCCTGGGGCATCTAGTGCTAGAGTAGGTGCTGTTCACCCTCAAGGCAGCTGAGGTCTGGGGGCTTGGAGAGAATGAAAACGGAGTGACCACAGAAGGCAAACACTGGTGAGTGGATCCTCTGATGGCTTTCTTCAACTGTCACCCCTGTACTCCTCTCATAGTGGTCATCGTGACCCCTCTACTTCACTAACAATGGTAGCATACTGAACTCACATTCACCTGGACCTCAAATCTTGGGCAGTTTCACCCAACAGCTAACCCAAGAATCAGTGTGGGAGTCTCTGTGGGCCCACAGCCAGCAGAGTAACTAACAGTCTGTGGGAGGCAAGAAGGTAGTGTGGTGCAACATGACCAAGTAGCTGGTATTGGCTCAAACTTCAGAAGTCTGACTGAGTAGTTTGTCTTAGGCATATTTAAACATAGAACAATTTGGCAAAAGCTTTCCTGGTGATAATTAGTTCAACCTTGTGTGCATAATAAAGTACAAATCAAGCTAAATAAAGATCAGGCATGACTACATAGAAACTCTTTGTAAAACACTACCCATAAAAATGTGTTCTGTAGACTGAGACAAACAAGCTTATGATAAGGGTCTAGGGGAGATTCTGGTGTGATCCCAGCCACACGTATAGCACACAGGTCACCAGCCTGTTAACCACATCCTCTCCCAGCCTTTTGTTTGGATAACAGGTTGTGATGTTTACCATTCCAGGTTCCCCTAGTGCTTGTCTGTGAGCACAGGACCTCCATGCCTCCTACAAATAAAAGCACCCTGAAGCAAGTAAACTAAAAGATCAGCAAAGATACAACTTCATTGCTTGTAAAGGCTGAGTCCCATGCATCCTACATCTGTAGCTCTCGGTGTTTAAGGGGGGGTGCTGCTCTTGTAGAGAACCTGAGTTCAGTTCCCAGCACCCACCCACAACTGCCTGCAGCTCCTGCTCCAGGGGGTCGATGCCGTCTTCTGTACACACACACACACACACACACACACACACACACACACACACACACACACAAATCTTTAAAGTGCTTTAAAACCATATCCTCACAAGACAACAAAAGCCACACTCCTCTTCTAACTCTTGTGAATGTCAGCTGCTTATAGGACCACTTACATGAAGACCAAGGTCTAGGTGAAGGTGAGCTTCTTAGTGACCCAGCATGGGAGGAATCCATGAGTTGGCTGTAGAGTCAAGGGTAAGAACCTCAATTGGCCAGTTGGAGTTAAATGCCAGTTCCTCACAGGCTAGCCCGCCTGTGACCTGGAGCCAGAGTAATAAGGTGATGGTCTCTGAGGCTTTTCATGAGCCTTGGCTCTGTCTCTGGACTTGTAGGAATCTGAGGCTATCCTGAAGAGCAAGTTCAAGTGGCTAAGACAGTGCCGGAACCTGGAGGAGGACAGGTGGGGGCCTCAAGCCACCTGGGATCCAGGAGGCCCAGGTCCCTCAGAGAAGACAGAGAACAGGGTTTAAAGCTATGGCCTCTGTAGTCAGACTGTATTGGTTTTGAGAGACCTGGAAGCCAAGACTGTTAGATTTTTCATACCTGTGGTCCCCTGTATGTCACTCCAAACTAGCATAGCTGTTGCTGCTTGTATTCTGTCTGGTCAGCTCAGCCCTGTGGCAGTTTAGACCCTTAAACAGAGGTCTAAGGTCCACATGAGATTCAACATTCTTTTACTTTCAGGTCTGACTACCAGTCTCTGGGCCTTCCTGAGTTTTCCAGGAGCCAGATAGGCGTGGTTCACAAGGACCTGCTGCCCTCACGGAGTGCCTGACAGAGCACAGCCTAAGGGGAGGTTCAGATCTCCCAAGCTAGCTGGGGCCTCCAGGGGCAGAAGTGTGGCTCCCAGGGGCACAGAAGCCAGGCAGCCAGGAAAGTGAGGCTGCCCAGGGTTCAGCTGGAAGCCAGTCTGTGTGAATTCCCACTCTGCAAAGCAGGAAGGAACAGAATATCCCTTGGAGCTTATAGCTCCCCCGGGTCCAGTCCTAGTTCTGAATACTCAGGTCTCAACCCTTTATTTCCCACCACTCGCTGGGAATCCTCAGGACAGAAACATCAAAGTTGGAGGACTAAATTGTTCTCTGTCCTGAAACTGTTAATTGGAAGCTGTAATCAATCCCGACAGTGAAGCCAAGGCTTCCGGCAATGACTCTGCAGTGTGTTCTCAGCAGTTTGCATTCTGTGGGGCCCAGGCACAGGGGCTCTGCCTGAATTGAAGCTGTTAGGACACATGCCTGGGATATTTAGGGACCACAGAATGACAGACTGTCAGCTGGAAGGATCCTAGATCACATGTCCCAGACTGCTTTCTGTTGCTGTGATAAACACCATGACCAAAAGTAACTTGGTGAGGGAAGGCTTCATTTTTATCATATTCTTCCAAGTATATTACTGCAGGGACCTAGAGCAGAAAGTGTAGAGGAATGCCTGCTGACCCATCTCTTCTTCACTGGGCAGCCACAGACCCCAGATGCAATGTGGCCAAGTCATCAGTGATCTCCTGAGCTGTGACCTGACATCATTTAAGAAGCTGACTCAGTGGGATGGCATGGCATCCTCAGAGGTGCCTAGCCCACTTGGGGCATAGGGGCTCATGTTAGTAAAAGCCTGAGTTCTACTTGTCTAAGCCCCCACCACACACACACACACACACACACACACACACACACACACACACACCCCTTGGGAGTTTCTAGAAGCTTCTAGGAGCAGATCACTGCAGCTCATAGACAGACCACCGCCTTCCTATTGTCAGCTTTGACATTCCCACACCACCTTTGTCTTCCACCTCCCTGACACAAAGTCCCTTAATAATAATAGCCAGCCAGGCACCAGATACTATGCAATTGTATAAGTACAATTCGCTTTAGATTAAAAAAAAAAGGATACTCTTTAGAAAAATCCATAAATTTATACAATGTATTTTAATCCTATCCATCTACCATTACCTCCTTCAATTTTCCATAGCCCACCTGTTTCCCTCCCAACTTCCTGTTCTTTGTTATTGACAGCCCCCTGAGTCTATTTATTGCTGCTTATTCCATACACACAAAGGCGCATGGTCAACCTACCAGCAGCTTCTTTCCTGACAGAGAATAACTCTCCTCTTCAGTAGCTACCAACTGCCAATAGTTCCTCTGCTAAGGGTAGAGTTGTGGAGTCCCTCTCCAGGCGTGTCGAGATTTTGGCTAGCTTGATCTTATGACTGTGAGGTGGTGTGTTGGCTCTCTGCCCATCTACTGACTCTTTTTGTTCCCTATTCTGAGATG